GAAGTAATAACACTTCTGCATTCATATCATTACAAAGCTATCTTTACATGGTATCTTGGAAATTTACCAAAATATTAAAAACAATATTCTACATAGGAAATATACCAGGGATTGAGGTTTGACTTCTCTTTATGCTTCATGTAGCTAAATACAATAATCTCTTGGTGTCAGTGACCATTTAAGTATAAGATTTTCAATATTTTGACATTTGGTCAGACTATGAGTTTGACTTGCATATGCTGAGAGAGTAGTGTACAAGATCAAGATAATTAATAACAGAAATTAAATGATTGCCCAGCATTTGCATATAACTATAAGATACTCAGAAGTGATAATACCTTCCTTTATGAAAAAAAAAATGCTCACTAAGTGAGCCTAAGGATAAGTAGAAAATTATAATTAACTTGTGGTATATGGCTACAGACAGAAAACACATGACTCTAAACAGAAAACAGACTCTTTAAAAAAAGCCAATGGAAAGGAAGACATAAAACTGTTCCTCTTTGCAGAAAACATAGCTGTCTATGCAAAAATCCCAAGGAATCTACACAAAAATTCCTAGAATAAGCAAGTTAATCAAGATTTCAGGATACAAGATGAATGCATAAAAACCAACTGACATTCTAGATACTAATAAGGAACATGTGAAAACCAAAATGAAAAAGGCAATACCACTTACAATAGTACTTGCTCCACACTTGCTACACAATTGTCTACTTAGGTACACAATTAAAAAAAGATGTACAGAACTGGTATGTTGAAAATTACACAATCCTATAGAGAGAAATCAAGATGGCCTCCCTTAATGGAGAGGCATAACTTGTCAACAGATTGGGAAATGCAAAATAATAAAGATGTCAATTCACCCCAAGTTGATCAGTAACTTTAATGCAATTCCTATCAAATCCAGCAACATTTTCTAGACATGGTCAAGATTATTAAAACATTTATATGGAAAGGCATAAACTGCAGAACAGCTAAAATAATCTTGATTAAAAAAAAACAAGTTTGGGGAAATCATTCTAACAGATATTAAGTCCAATTTACAGCTGCAGTAATCAAGACAGTGTGATACTGGTATGGGCAAAGACAGAAATCAATGGAAAAGAAAACAGAATCCAGAAAGAGACCCATCCAAGTTCAGCCAACTGATTTTTGACAAAGTTGCAAAAGTAACTCAATGAAGGAGAAACAGCCTTTTCAACAAATAGTACTGAACGGACTGGATATCAATAAAGGAAAACAAACATGGATCTAAACCTCACACCATAAACAAAAATTTAAAGTGGATCGTGTACTTAACATATAAAACATAAATCTATGAAACTTTTTTTTTAAACAGAAAAAAATCTCCTGGCTCTACAGCTAGACCAAGAGTCAAAAGAGTTAAAACATTTGTTCTACAAAATACCATGTGTAAAAAGGATGAAAGAGAAGCTAAAGACTGGGGGAAAATATCTGCAAACTAAAGAACTCTTAAATTTCCACAGGAAAAAAAAAATCCACCCAATTAAAAAATGAGCAGAAGATAGAGCAGATATCTCACCAAAAATATATGGATGGCAAACAAGCGCATGAAAAGATATTGAAAATCAAGCACCAAGGAAATGCAAAATAAAACTTCAATGAGATATCACTACTACATACCTATAAACATTGACTACACTGAAGAAGTTATACCACCAAATGATGGTGAAGATATGGAAAAACAGTCACTCGCACATGCCTAGGGGGAATGTAAAATGATACAGATTCTCAAATTGCCAATATATGTAGGATTATAGAAAAAGCAAACAAATTACAGAAAAACAACTACTTCTGCTTCATTGACTATGCTAAAGCCTTTGACTATATGGATCACAACAAACTATGGAAAATACCAGACCACCTTACCTGTTTCTTGAGAAACCTGTATGCAGGTCAAGAAGCAACAGTTAGAACCGGACTTGAAACAAATGACTGATTCAAAATTGGGAAAGGAGTTCTACAAGGCTGTATATTGTCACTGGTTTATTTAACTTATATGCAGAGTACATCATGCAAAATGCTGGACTTGATGAATCACAAGTTGGAATTAAGACTGTTAGGAGATATATCAACCACCTCAAATATGCAGAAAACGTCACCCTTATGGCAGATAGTGAAAAGGAACTAAAGAGCCTCTTGATGAAGGTGAAAGAGGAGAGTGAAAAAGTTGGCTTAAAACTCAACATTCAAAATACTAAGATCATGGCATTGCACAACCAATGCTTCACAAGTTGAATGAATTGGGCTACAGAGTTTTGCCTTATCCGCCATATTCACCTGACCTCTCACCAACCGACTACCACTTCTTCAAACATCTTGACAACTTTTTGCAGGGAAAACGCTTCCAAAACCAGCAGGAGGTAGAAAATGCTTTCTAAGAGTTTGTCAAATCCTGAAGCATAGATTTTTATGCTATAGGAATAAACAAACTTATTTCTCATTGGTAAAAATGTGTTGAAAGGTAATTGTTCCTATTTTGATTAATAAAGATATGTGCTGCTACTGCTGCTAAGTCACTTCAGTCGTGTCGAACTCTGTGTGACCTCACAAATGGCAGCCCACCAGGCTCCCCTGTCCCTGGGATTACTTCAGGCAAGAATACTAGAGTGGGTTGCCATTGCCTTCTCCAGTGCATGCATGCATGCTAAATCACTTCAGTCATGTCCGACTCTGTGCGACCCTATGGACAGCAGCCCTCTAGGCTCCTCTGTCCACAGGATTCTCCAGGCGAGAATACTGGAGTGGGTTGCCATTTCCTTCTCCAAATAAAGATATGTGTTTAATCCTAGTTACAATGATTTAAAATTTACTGTCTGAAACTACAACTACTTTTTCACAAACTAATCACTTTGGGAAGTTCCAAAAGTGAAACTGAAGAGACCAGGAATCAAAAACAAGATGATTTCCTCTACATTCAAAATGTATCATATCAGTCATTAGAAATCATAAACACTAATTGTCATGAAGAGTAGAGAAATCAGAGACCTTGAAACAGCAAAAGTACTTCTCAAAGGGCCCGAGTATGACTGTCACTATATTCTAGTCAAGTAGTATTCATAGACACACAATAAAGTTACCAAATATCTATTCCTGCTTTTGCTAAAGCATATGACTTTATAGTTGAGATCATCTTTTCTTCTAAATCAATCTACACTGGCTCTGAACAGTATCAGAGTTATACTTTTCTTACTGAATGCCATTTAGCATATGCAAATTATAATCTGTATCTGACATTTCAAAGACTGTCCTTTTACATAAAATCATAGAAAATTAACTGTGTATTAATGGCAGAAAATGCTAGTTACCTGACAGATATGAATATAGGTTAAGAAATCAATGACAAGTACCCCAACTTTTCAAGGACTCAGGTCATACTTAACACTGTGCCACAACAAGTCTATGTATAATGACAGTACACATCCTAAAAAATCTCTAGTATCTTGGATTTTAAGTTTTAATTACTATTATAGAGCTTGACATTGATGTTCTAAATCCCTTGACTTTCTAACTACTTCAAAAATTGCACTGAACTATGTGATGGTTAACTGTCAGCCCATTAACCATGTAACCTGAAAAAAAAATTCTAATTGTTTTAAAACAATGAATTCTTTCACTTAGAAGGAGACACTGAGAGCATTACTTCCCCCATTCTCTCATGATTTACAAAAATATGCCCCAAAATGTCACCACCACTGAATTTGATTTTTTTAATTCAAAATTATAATTTTGTATTTTGCTATACTGAATATTATCTAAGAAGAGTTAGAAGAACATCGAACTAGGATTAAAAAACTGGGTTTTAATCTAAGACTCCACTGCTACTTAGGGCTTCCCTGGTGGCTCAGTGGTAAAGAATCTACCTGCCAATGCAGGAGACGTGGGTTCAACCTCTGAGTCAGGAAGATGCCCTAGAGAAGGAAATGGCAACCCACTCCAGTACTATTGCCTGGGAAATCTCAAGGACAAAGGAGTCTCATGGGCTAGAGTCTGTGGGCTCACAAAAGAGTTGGACATGACTGAGTATGTATGCATGCCACCACTAACTAGCTTAGATATGGATCTGACATTTATCAAGCCAGATGACCTTCAGCAAATTAAACTCTTTGAGCTTCACTGAGGACTCTAAAAAATCTAACTATTTGCTCTATACTAGCATAGGACTGTTGTAAGGATCAAACAAGAAAATGTATTTAAAGAGCTTGGTAAATCACAAATTATTAATGTAAGATTATCTTAACAAAGAAAACTTTAAAGTTACATTTTAGTATTTTCTTCCAGTTTTACTGCAATATAACTGACATACATCACTGTATAAGTTTAAGGTGTACAGCATGATTGATATACTACATACATCATGAAGTGACTATCACAATAAGTTTAGTGAACATTCATCATCTCATACAGATACAAAATTAAAAATAAATAGAAAAAATATTTCTTCTTGTGTTGAGAATTCTTGGGATTTACTCTCTCAACAACTTTCATATATAATACAAAGCAGTGTTTATTATACTAATCATGTTGCAAATTACGTCTCTAGTACTTAGCTGTAACTGAAAGTTTGTACCTTTTGATGGTCTTCATGCAATCCTCCCTGTATCCTGCTGCCACCCCTTACTACAATGTCACTGGTAACCACAAATATGATTTCTTTTTCTCTTTTCTATGAGTTTGCTTGTTTTTGAAGTTCAATTACAATGACACTGATGAACCTAGAGGATACTATGCTAAGTGAATTAAGTCAGACAGAGAAAGATAAATACTGTATACCACTTACATGTGAAATCTAAAAAAAAAAATACAAATGAACAAACATAACAAAACTGAAAGTTATATGTTTTAGAAGGCAAGTCAGCATATCAAGGAGACTTGTAGCAACCAATGTCATGTAAATTCTTACTGTTGGCTTCTTCTGAAAAGATGTGAATATGAAGTCATTAATGTCATTTATTGTAAATAAATACTTATCATACCTTGCATAACAAAACACTTCCACATGTTGAATGGTTTTGTCTGTCCTGCTAAGAGCAATAGCTTCTTCATTTTCAAGGATCTTCTCTTGCCATGCTGGGCATTCATTCACAATATCACTGTTTTCCTAAACAAAATACAGAGAAGAAATTCTAATTAAAATGGGTAATCTGAACTTCTACTTTTTGAAAAAATTTATATCTTTCTAAATTCATGCCTTTCCTTCCAATCCATCAAAACTCAAAGGATATCACTTCAGCGTCATTGAAGCAACTCCAGCATAGTGTGCAACTTTAAAGGAAGGGAAGGAAAATAATGTATAAAAATCTATCCTATCAAAATCTAATTCTGGTTTATCAATTTCTATCAGGATATGTGATGTTTTGATGCAGTCATTTGGATGTGGCTGTTATGACACTGCTTAAGAACTAGGACAACAAACCCTTCATCTGCTAAGACTTAACCATATCTGATGCACACTGTGCGGGCTAAGTCACTTCAGTTGTGTCTGATTATTTGTGACACTAAGAACCATAGCCCTCCAGGCTACTCTGTCCATGGAATTCTCCAGGCAAGAATACTAGAGTGGGTTGCCATGCCCTTCTCCAGGGGATCTTCCTAACTCAGGGATCAAACTCATGTCTTTTATGTCTCCTGCATAGAAAGGCAGGTTCTTTATCACTAGTGCTAACTGTGAAGCCTGGTGCACATATTAATTGTTACTAAAAAAGCTTTAAAATTTTGTTGTTAAAACAGCAGGCCCCAAACTACTTCATTCTACTTAATTTCAAATTTTTAAAGGTTGGTCAGTAGCTGGGTCAATTCTTGATTATCCATGAAAGTATTTTTGAAACGTACTCAGCCCAGCATAACTAAAGACTTTATAATAATCAACCTAAATATTTTATATTTAGAAATACACTAAAAATAAGAAAGCATAATAAAGTATATAAACTCTTACTAGGGCTTCCCTGGTGGCTCAGGTGGTAAAGAATCGACTGCAATGCGGAAGACCTGGGTTCAACACTTGGGTTGGGAAGATCTCCTGGAGAAGGAAATGGCAACCCTCTCCAGTATTCTTGCCTGGGAAATCCCATGGACATAGGAGCCTGGCAGACTACAGTCCATGGGGTCACAAAGAGTTGGACACAACCGAGGAGCTAACACACTTTCAAATTCTTACTAAGGATTGAAAGTGGCCCTTTAAATTTTTCAATAATTTCCAATTATATTCTATGGAGAAAATCACATGATACAACGTTCAAATACAGGAGATTTCTGAAGCTGTCAAGACATACTTTTCCAAATCTCAAGGGTAAATTTTTAATCTGTTCAAAATTTTATTCTACTTGATACACATCTCTCAGAAAAAAAACAATATTTAATGTATTATATATACTCAATAAACTAGTAGTGATATATAACTATAATAGTCTTTGTTTTAAGTAAATTCACCTCAGAAAAATTCAAAACTTACACATCACAAAGTAGGCAATAATTATTTTTAAAAGGCTCCACTGTCTTGAATTTAACATTTTAAACCGACAAAAAGTAGCAGCAGACAGTTCTTATTATCAAGTATAATTATTAGATAATCATTAAACATCCCAACACAAATAGAGAGGGGGTGAAGTATAGGAGCTTTGAACAGGGTTACCAACCTGAAAAAAAGAAGTATGTGAAGGGAAAAAGGATAAGATGACAAAGTCAAGATGCTGGAGTAGTAAAAGAAGCATTAAAATAAGTGTTTATAAAAATACCTTGTTTTAATAAATCTAATCCATTACCAAAATTTATTTTTTAAAAAATCCCTTCACTCACCCAAAATTTTCCATTTCAGACAATTAAGACATTTATATTTAGGTTGCTGTTGTTCTGAGAATCTAGGCTACATTTTCTCATGGAAGGACTGAATATGCTTCAATATAAGGTGACCCTTGCACACACTTGCCAAGGATTACATTCAAAAAATGGTTCCTGATCACCATAAAATATTTGAGGCATATTGATAAAAAATAGCTAAATGAATCTATTTATATCATTTACTTTCTTGATTTATACACAGCTGAATTATTACATGAAATGTTACTTCACAAATATTGCTTGTTTTTCCACAGTCTAATTGCATACTGAATTGCATTCAAACTGAACCTTCAGTACATCTTCAACGTCAATTTCTTTGTCATCACTGCAGGTACTTTTTGAGTCACTTATTAAATCAATCAAGAAAACTAAAATGTTAAGTTTGGTACTTGGTACATGGTAAGTGCTTAATAAGTCTTAGCTGTATTATTCTTAGTTAACTGAATACAATGTTCTAGAATCTACCATCCTTCTTCCCCAAAAGTCTAAACCCTTTTAAGATACAGCAGTTTCTTAGTCTATGTATGATGCTCTCAGAAGGAATTCCAGGTCAAGCTACATGTACCATTTATAGAAAATTAAGACAGTTTTTAATGTCTCATAAAAATTGGTAAACTCTAAGACATAACCAACTCTGCATGTAAAATGTATGCTGTAAATATTATAAAAATTACTTTAGAATGATGTCTAACATTGGAGTGGTGAAATTCTATTCTGGGGGGGAATTACTAAATATATATGAAATTTCTTTTGTTGTTTTTTGTTTTTAATGATTCGGTCAGGTGACTTCTACATAAGCAAAACCACCAATGACAGATCATTTCAAATTAATATATCTCCCCAAATTACTGAAAGAACTAGTAATATGTGATATTTTCTAAGGGTAGAAATATTTTTTTGAAAGAATATTTTGGATAAAAAAAACTTGCCTGATATTTGGGTATACAGAGTAATTAGAACATGGTATCAAACATATATGATTTATTCTTCAGTCAACGTATTTATTTATACTTAAAAAGGAATGCTACTATATTTTAGTAGCATTGGGATAATATTAGCTGAAAAGGTGACTACAGAATTTTTGTTAAATAAGTAAATAAAAATTATCAACCCTATAATACAAATGAAACTTCATGTCTTCTTCAACATGGAGTAATTATATGACAGAAAATACAATCTAGTAAATTAAAAAAGAAGATAAGGGAGAACAAGATGGCAGAGGAGTAGGTGGACATGAAGTACATCTCTCTCCATGGATACTTCATGAATACACCTTCAGACACGGAAGTGCATGCAGAATACCAGCTGAGAGTAGAGAGGAGTACCTGACCAGCAGAAAAGAATATATAGAACCACGCAAAACTCGGCAGGAGGAAGGAACTAGGGAAAAAAACAGGAGTGTTAGTAGGACTGAACCTCCCCTCCGTGGGTGGGGGAACTGAAGCAGGGATCCAATTCCCACATTGGGGCAATTGTCTGAGTCAGAGGAGAAACATTTAAGGTTGAGAGTGAAACAACTGATCTGTGGCAGCCTAAATGGAATGAGAATCAGACAGTCCCTGCCACAGCCATACATACCCCAGACAGGGACGCAGATCCCCTAGAAGGTGCAGCCACTGGGAGCTGTAGTTTAGGGATTGTGGAGCAACCCCAGGTCGAGGGCTGCTGTTGACTGTGGAGAAAAAGATTGAGGGGATGTGAGGGAGGAGATTGTGGTGGGAAATGCTTGTGGAGGAAAGCCAGGCAGCCATGGAAGCAAGGCAATATTGCTGAGTCACGCGTGGGGGGGGGGGGGACCATCACCAAAGCCTCTCTCTCTCCATGCCAGGATCCAGCAGCTGAACAATACAGAGGCTGACCCATCAAATGCCTAACACACTGAACTACAGAGTAGGACCCCACCCAGGGTTATCCTTTAAGTGCCTGACAGGCTGATCTACAAAGTAGGACTCTAGCCAGGGGGGCCCCCTCTATGTGCTTGACACACCAATCAACAGAGAAGGACCCCAGGAAAGGGAGCCCTGTAAGTGCCTTAACGGTCAGAGATATGGAGAAAGACTGGCCAAGGAGGCCTTCTGATTGCCAGCTACAAGAGGCTCGGAAAAAGACTCTGATAGGGCCATAGCTCCTGTGTTGGAGGCAGTCCGTGTCCCTGAATACTTGGTACTGCCAGGGTCTCCACAGCCAATCAGCTGTGCCATCTTCACACACAACTCGCACTGGGGCAGAGCTGTCACAGGCAAAAAAAAAAAAAAAAAAAACCTCTTGCATCTATGCACACAGGGTCACTTTGGTCATGTCTAACTCTTTGCAACCCTGTGGACTGTGGCCTGCCAGGCTTCTCTGTCAGAGAGGGGGGTTCTCCAGGCAAGAATACTGGGGCGTATTGGCCAATACTGGTTGCCACACCCTTCTAGAGCACTATATTTCCTGCTGCCCTAGCTGCCAACTCCCCTGAGTACCTGGTGCTGCCAGAACCTGTGACCCAAGCAGTTGCACCACCTCCACACCTGGTCCTCACTGGGGCAGACCCAAGTCCTCCAAGGCAGCCTCGGGAGCAAACCCCAGTGGACGACGCACATGCAGAGGTGGAAGTAAAACCACAATTGAAACCCAGGGGCAGTGTGGCTAAGGTAGAAGATGCAAAACCTTCCCACCAGCTGTACAAGCTGCAGATTAACTCTACATGATCAACTAGGCAGACTCTGTGTTCAGGAATATATAAAATGACATTGAGAGCTTCCCCAAAAGAAAACACACTAGTTCTGATACTATGGACACTGGCGGCAAGAACACATAGAAGTAGGACCAGATTAGAATCTGAACTGCCCCCACAACAGATTCAGAGGTCAGCACAGTGTTGGAGGGCATCCTAGGGAGGTGAGGTGGACGTTTTCCAGAGAGGGAAAGGACTCTGACAGCAGTGACTCAATAAAAAAACTTATTATTCTTATGTTTTGACTTGTTCTGTAGAATCTTACTGATTTTTACGTTTTACTTTTTTTTTCGGTTTCTTTATTCCCCCCCTCTGTTGTAGTTGTTGGTTTTACTGGCACTATGAAATCTAAGTAAGTTTCTGAGCTTTTTTATTTCTCAGTCACACTTTTATTGTTATTTTAAACCTCTGCCTCTATGTTGGGCTTTTGCAGTTCTGTGGAATTTTCCTTGTTTTCTTCTTTCGTCTTCCTTTTTAACTTTTAATTTTTAATTTTTTAAAACCTATTATTATTTTTTCTACATTTATTCCTTTGTTTGCTTTTCCTACTGTTCTTTTCCCCTTGCAGTTAATCTTTAATGTATATAAATCTTTATCTTCCTCTATTTAACTTTGCATATCTATTCTTTCTTTGGTTCCTTTCCTCTCAACATATTTGTTAGTTATGTTTACATTGCTTTATTTCCCACTTGGCACCTTGCTTTAATTTTGTTTTCCAATTTGTGCTTTAGTTAATTTTGTTCTTAACTGGAAGATATAATTTCTGGTTTCCTTTGTTCGCCATGTCAATCAATTATACTTTATTTTTGTTGGACTGTTTTGATTATGCTTATGGGTATATATGTATATGTATATGTGTTTATTCAGTCACACTTTTTATTGTTGTTATAAATCTCTACCTGTTGGGCTTTTGTGGTTCTGTGGGATGGGGAGGGAGATGGGAGGAAGGTTCAAAAGGGAGGGGATATATGTATACCTATGACTAACTCATGTTGAGGTTTGACAGAAAACAAGAAAATTCTGTAAATCAATTATCCTTCAATTAAAAAATAAATTAACTAAAAAAATAAGAATTTTACCTGGTGTTCCTTTAGCCAGGACAACAGACCTGAAAAGCTAAAACTGGCCCAGTTTCCTCCATAGTAGCTTCTTCTGTAACAATAAAAAAAATAAGAGTAAATGAAAGGGTATTAAAAAATCTAATCACGGATCTTCATCCCATTTCATTTTTAACATTGCTACCTCACAGAGTTCAAAAGCACACATAATTGCAATGTGGAGAATCAGAGGAGGTAACAGAACAAAATAAATGGAAGTGGGACTTTCAGGCCTCAAAGGTAACTTTTCATTATATAAGGAGTTAAAAAATCTCTTTGGCTTCCTTGGAACTTTCTGCACTGATCAAGTGTCTCTGAGCAGGTGATAATGAACAAATTTTACTTCTGAGTTAATAAAAATGGCTGGGAAGAAAATCTTGGTAGATCTCAAAGAAGGCCACTATAAAAAACTGCTAAGTTTTCCACAAGCAGTAAATATCCACTGCCAGCACCACCTGAGAACTCATCTCACATGCATAAATACATAAATAAATTTATTTATACATACACATATTACTGGCTACTCTAGTGGAAGGCCCTGTGCCATTCTAAGCCTTCAGGGCCAAAAATAAAAGTAGATCCTGAGACACAGTTATTCACAAGACTTCTGTAATAAGTATAAGAAGAACAATATTTCTCCTGATAACTGAACTATTCTTCACTCCACAGCACTGTGAAAAATCACTCCATTTTATAAAACCCAGAGATCTTCTAGGATCTCCTAGGATCAGATAAACCCTGTAGACACTGGACTCCTAATTAACTTCTGATAGTAACAGACTTCCCCTAGAGAAGGAAATGGCAATCCACTCCAGTATTCTTGCCTGGAGAATCCCTGGCAGACTACAGTCTATGGGGTCGCAGAGAGTCGGACACGACTGAGCGACTAACACACACACACACACACACACACACACACACAGTAGCAGACTTCTGGCAACCAGAACACTCAGCACTATATATTGGGCTTCCACATCCTTACAAAATTCATCATGTTACATTCATTCTTTGTATGATGAGCCCCCAAGTACACTAAAATCCACCTATAATATTCACTCTAGTTCTGAGACATTGTTGGTTTTGTTTTCATTTTTGCTTCTCCAGATCTTGCTCTAAGGAAATAAAAATTTATAAAAGGCCTTTTTAAAACAAAAACTAAAACCTCTAATAGGATATCTAAAATTATTCATCCATAATACTACTGAATAGCCTCTCAAAATTCCGGTATAGATTTCTCTTCAATCAACTCTTGATTAGTCTTAAGAACAATCAGTTTTACCCTCAAATTTTTTACCAAAAATCAATGCTTGCTCTAACAGAGAGAATGATTAAACCAAACAACTGTGAAAGTAGGCCTATTAACAACAGATCACTACTTATAATCTGATAGTTCTCTTGGGGATAATGCAAATTCATACACTGTCCATATCCTGAGAAATCTTTAAAATTTAGATAGAATTTCAGCTATACTCTCAATTCTAGATGTTGGAATCAAGAAAGCCTAGAAGCAGTGATACCTTGGATCAGAGACAACAGGAGAAGAAAAAGGTGGACAATAGCCAGTATAGAAGAGAAGGAGGGAAAGAGATGGATGTTAGATTTTCCAAAGCAACTTTATACTCTCTTCTCCCTTGGCTGATAATAATACACTTCTATCATCCCTTCCTATCATCTAAACATCAATATAATACTCAACAAAATTATAAAATGCCCTAAGTATTAAAACAAACAAACAAACAAAAACCCTGAAGCAGTGATAAAAAAGTCCCACTATCTTTATATATTTTGCTGAGATATTTAGATTTCTTTTCGTTGTTATTCTTCAGTTGCTAAGTCGTGCCCAACTCTTTGTGACCCCATGGACTACAGCACACCAGGCTTCCTCATGCTTCACTATCTCCCAGAGTTTGCTCAAACTCATGTCCATTGAGTCGGTAGTGCCATCTAACCATCTCACCCTCTGTCACCTCCTTTTCCTCCTGCCTTCAATCTTTTCAAGCATCGGGGTCATTTCCAGTGAGTTGGCCCTCTGTATCAGGTGGCCAAAGTATTGGAGCTTCAGCTTCAGCATCAGTCCTTCCAATTATATTTATGACTGATTTTGTTTAGGATGGACTGGTTGGATCTCCTTGCAATCCAAAGGACTCTCAAGAGTCTTCTCTAACACCACAATTCAAATGCACCAATTCTTCAGTGCTCAGCTTTCTTTATGGTCCAACTCTCACATCCATACGTGATACTGGAAAAACCAGAGCTTTGACTAACAGAACCTGTGGGCAAAGTAATGTCTCTGCTTTTTAATATGCTGTCTAGGTTGGTCATAGCTTTTCTTCCAAGGAGCAAATATCTTTTAATTTCATGGCTGCAGATATTCCCATCTCTTTAAGAATTTTCCATAGATTGTTGTGACATTGCAGTCAGAGGTTTTAGTGTAGTCAATGAAGCAGAAGTAGACGTTTTTCAGGAATTCCCTTGCTTTTTCTATGATCCGATGGATACTGGCAATTTGATCTTGGTTTCTCTGCTTTTTTTAATCCACCCTGTACATATGGAAGTTCTCAGTTCACGTACTGCTGAAGCCTAGCTTGAAGGATTTTGAGCACTATCTTGCTGGTATGTGAAAGAGTGCAATTATATGGGAGTTTGAACATTTTTTGGCATTGCCTTTCTTTGGGATTGGAATGAAAACTGACCTTTTCCAGTCCTGTGGCCACTGAGTCTTCCAAATTTGCTATAATATTGAGTGCAGTACTTTAACAGCATCATCTTTCATCTTTTGAAGTAGCTCAGCTGGAATTCCATCACCTCTACTAGCTTTGTTCATAGTAATCCTAACGTCTACTTGACTTCTCACTCCAGCATGTCTGGCTCTAAATGAGTGACCACACCATTATGGTTATCCCAGTCATTAAGACCACTTTTGTATAGCTCCTTCATGTATTCTTGCCACCTCTTCTTAATCTACTCTGCTTCTGTTAGGTACTTGCAATTTCTGTCCTTTATTGTGTCCATCTTTGCATCAAATGTTCCCTTGGTATCTCTAATTTTCTTGGATACATCTCTAAGTCTTTCCCATTCTATTGTTTCCCTCTATTTCTTTGCATTGTTCACTTAAGGCTTTCTAGTCTCTCCTTGCTATTCTCTGGATCTCTGCATCCAGTTGGGTATATCTTTCCCTTTCTGCTTTACTTTTCACTTCTCTTCTCAGCTATTTGTAAGGTCTCCTCAGACAACCATTTTGCCTTCTTGCATTTCTTTTTCTTTGGGATGGTTTTGGTCACAGCCTCCTATACAATATTGTGAACTTTGGCCCATAGTTCTTTAGGCACTCTGTCTACCATATCTAACCCCTTCAATCTATTCATCATGTCCACTGTATAATCATAAGGGATTTGATTTAGGTCATACCTGAATGGTGTGGGCTTCCTCAGTGACTCAACTGTAAAGAATCTGCCTGCAATGTAGGAGACGGGTATTTGATCACTGGGTTGGGAAGATCCGCTGGATGAGGGGATGGTAACCCAATCCAGTATTCTTGCCTGGAGAATCCCATGGATAGAGGGGCATGGTGGGCTAGAGTCCACAGAGTTAGACATGACTGAAGCAAATGAGTACACATGCATACCTGAATGGTCCAGTGGTTTTCCCTACTTTCTGTAATTTAAGCCTGAACTTGCAATAACGAGCTCAAGATCTGAGCCAAAGTCAACTCCAGGTGTTGTTTATCTTCAGCTGAGTTTATCTTCAGCTGCAAAGAATATAATCAATCTGATTTCATTACTGACCATCTGGTGATGTTCACGTGCAGAGTCATCTCTTGTGTTGTTGGAAGAAGGTGTTTGCTATGATCAATGTGTTCTCTTGGCAAAACTGTTAGCCTTTGCCCTGCTTCATCTTATATGCCAAGGCCAAACTTGCTCTTTACTACAGGTATCTCTTAACCTACTTTTGCATTCCAATCCCCTATAATGAAAGGAACATCTTTTTTTCTGTTAGTTCAAGAAGGTCTTGTAGGTCTTCACTGAACTGTTCAATTTCAGTTTCTTTGGCATTAGTGGTTGGGACATAGACTTGGCTTACTGTGATGTTGAACAGTTTGCCTTGGAAACAAATCAAGATCATTCTGTCATTTTTGAGACTGCACCCAAATACTGCATTTGGACTCCTTTGTTGACTATGAGGGATACTCCATTTCTTCTAAGGGATTCTTGCCCACAGTAGTAGACGTAATAGTCATCTGGACTAAATTTGTTCATTTCCGTCCATTTTAGTTCAGATTCCTAAAATGTCGATGTTCACTCTTGCCATCTCCGGTTTGACCACTTCCAACTTACCTGATTCATGGACCTGATACTCCAGGTTCATATGCAATATTGTCCTTTATAGCATCAGACTTAAAGAGATGGGAATACCATACGACCTGATCTGCCTCTTGAGAAACCTATATGCAGGTCAGGAAGCAACAGTTAGAACTGGACATGGAACAACAGACTGGTTCCAAATAGGGAAAGGAGTATGTCAAGGCTGTATGTTGTCACCCTGCTTATTTAACTTATATGCAGAGTACATCATGAGAAATGCTGGGCTGGATGAAGCACAAGCTGGAATCAAGATTGCCAGGAGAAATATCAATCATCTCAGATATGCAGATGACACCACCCTTATGGTAGAAAGTGAAGAGGAAGTAAAAAGCCTCTTGATGAAAGTGAAAGAGGAGAGTAAAAAAGTTGGCTTAAAGCTCAATATTCAGAAAACTAAGATCATGGTATCTGGTCCCATCACATCATGGCAAATAGGTGGGGAAACAGTGGAAACAGTGGCTGACTTTATTTTGGGGGGCTCCAAAATCATGCAGATGGTGATTTCATGAAATTAAAAGACACTTACTCCTTGGAAGGAAAGTTATGACCAACCTAGACAGCATATTGAAAAGCAGAGACATTACTTTGTCAACCAAGGTCTGTCTAGTCAAGGCTATGGTTTTTCCAGTGGTCATATATGGATGTGCGAGTTGGGACTATAAAGAAAACTGAGCACAGAAGAAATGATGCTTTT